GCTCTACAATACACCTACTCTGCTTTAAGCATGTTTATGCACAACTGGCTTTTGTATTTTATTCTATACCACAATGAAGTAATTATGTTACCTTCAGTTGTTATGAAAACKYTGTATGCATCAAAAATAAAATTTATCTTTGCAYCATMGTCTATCTAAAAACCTTCAAATTGGCCTCTGTCTCTTTMAGATCCTCCTACCATTTCCRACACTCCCACTTCAGCACATCTTCACCRYARTGCTTCRGGGAAGGGCAKGAGCTCAGCTGGGGACAGAGCTCCAGCGAAGAGCTAGGCACAATGGGCGGTGCTTTGTACCAGCAAGCATTTAGGCAGCCTCAAATGGCTACCACAGGAGACAATAGGATTTCTCAAACATGCATTAATAGCTCTAATCACATGGAATAAGCATTATCTGGGGACCCCATGTATAAATAAATTACTCCAGACATCTGTTTTTTTTTTTTTTTTAATGTGGTGCATTCACACGGGATAATCGAAGCCTGAGATTTYATTGAGATTTAGGGACATTTTCTGGAAATGATACTTCCAGAAACGTCTGTGCGCCGAGCACCATTCAGTCAGTGTGTTTGTTCATCAAGCGTTAGCTCTCCTATTTACAATATTTTGTGTTCCTGATTTTGCTCCTTCTCTTCAGCATTTTATTTTTGATGCCAAATGTTACAGGTCTTTACGGTTTTGCTGGCCCAGGACCCAAAATGTTTTCAATGCACTCCAATCCAGTCTCAGTTCTTCACCAAAAGCAACTAAAAATGYACCCAGGAAACAAAAATCGCCTAATTACATAGCGGATTCGGCCCATTCCTGTTCAAATCACAGAGATGCCTATTCGCATTGTATTAGTATTCTCATAGGACCTCAAAGTTCAGAAAAATATAGTAATTTTGTGGGAGAATTTTTATGTTACAAATCATGGACGATTCGCACGGGCCCAACTTGTTGTCCTTTGACAAAAGGATTTATATGAAACTTTCAGGTCACCTGAGCTCTTCATACTGGGGGAGGAGCCAAACCCACTGCAACTAGATGCATAATTAGGCATACAAATGATTGGTAAGTGCCTTCCAACCTACATAGAGAAGGGATCGCCTGCACACAATGTATGGGACTGATGACCTCTAATAATGTCCATTTAATGTATTGATTCGATTCAAAGCAGGTGCACCAGGAAATTGCTTCAGTCCACATTAACCAATAGGGACACATCTTACAGTAGTTTGTCCTTAGGCCCCGCCCTGGATGCTCATGTTCTCTGAGTTCAAAACTTTTTTGAGTTCAAACTTCAACCAAAAATGTAGAGCTTCAACCAAAAACTCAGAGCATCAGTCAAAAGTCTGAGATTCAACCAAAGATTTGACGTGCAAAAAATAAAAAATAAATAAGTGAAATAAATACTACAGAAATACTTTAAAACGTAAAAGTAAGAGAGTTTTACTCACTGTTGAGTTGTGGTGAGTCTTGAATTCTGAACTCTCCCACTTTCTGACAGGGCGTTCCCATCCATTCTTTACATGTATTATGGGAGATGTAGTTACGGTCGATGCTGGCTTTAAGCAGCTTATTTTGAGACATTGATRCAGGGCTATTCAACTTGCTCAAGGGGCTTAGACAAGACCCAGGACAAGAATCTCAAGACAAGACCAGAAAAAAATAATGTTCAATGAAATTACATTCTATGTTTCCAATTGCCACTTTGGTACATGCCAATTATTTAATTAGTCTGCCTTTCAGTAATAATACACCTCAGGAAGASTGAACCCTTGATAGCCAGGCATGTTATTAGAATGCTAAAAGAAAAAGACAAAAAAAGTCTTTCCACTCCATTAATCTAGCACTGGTTTCCATTAAGCCTCTGAGTCTTTTTCTATGTCTCTCACTCRCGCAGCAGGTCTTGATAACCCAGGATGCCCACCCACATTCCCACTATCTCGGCTGCACTTTAATCTAATTAGCTCAGACCAGTCTTATGCCTCTGTAAATCCCTACATCCTAAAAAAAAATCTCATGGCAACATTCTTTCACCTAATGGCTGCACAGCGAGAGGCATTTTCAACCACATTACCTCTTACTGAGTTACAGAGTCCCATTGTTCCAAATAAGACAAATTTAATCGATCCAGTCTATAAAAATCCCAGTGCCACTGTGAAAGCCCTGCTTCCTGGGGTTTTTTATTTATTTATTTATTCACTCTTTTTTTTCCTCTCTCACTCGTCACTATGGAGTGTTAAGCCCTGCATGAGGTGCAGGGAAATTAGTTTTAC